AGAAAATAGTGGGGATGAGGTCTTAAGAAGGGCAGGGCTATAAACTGCACCGAATGATGTTCAAAATGGCGAATACAGTTCAGAACCCCATACAAAAGTGGAGCCATCCCTTTAATGCTGGTTTGGCCGCCACAGCCGCGATTTCTTAAGGTACTATGTCCAATTGAACATACTTGAATCGTGAGCGGAATGGGAAACCTGGATGCCATTGTAAAAGCACTATCGGCCGGCAATGTACGTTGCTAGTCGGCTGCCTAGCCTGTGTTGCTGTGCTTTTCTTTTCCTTTGACAGCGAATGTCTAATTTCGGCTGGCCTGCACATATACGATGATGGATAGGATACGCGCGGCCTGGGAATAACACTTATGTTATTTCGCGAAGAGTGCGACTGTTTAAATTCGATTGCGCTGGTATACGGCTATTAACTACCAGTACAACACACTTGTATTCGGGCTTAATTTCATTTGGTCGACCGGCGACGGCGTATCACCCAATGATCAGCGTCGATTTGCAAATGTACGGTGTCCAATTTACAGTACATTTGTTCGTGTAAGGAGGGCAGAAACATGTGCACACGATGCCGTGGGCGCAGCATCGGCAGGTTACGTGAATCGCTCGTCGGCTGACGTGACCTTTCTATTCAAAGCACTCCTTGACGGCGTATTGCTTACCGCGCCCGGCTTGCCCGCGGACTCATGTACGTAATACGGCGGCCCGAGAAAATATTGGTAACCGCGGGCGAAGAGAGCAGCTTGCGAATGATCATTTGACACGACAGAGTCTCATTCAATGGTGGTGGACCGGCGGCAGCGGCGGTTTGCACATTTACCGCGTTCGATTTAAAACAATTTTAATCATGCACGGCCGGTGCGACCATGCACACCCTATTCTATTGTGGGAACAGTATCGACCAGCAATGCAAATTGCTCATCGGCCGACATGAACTTGTTTGTTCAGATTACCTCCTGATGGAGCGACGCCACCTGCGGTCGGCCTTCCAGCACCGTGGTGGACAGAATGCTACACTGGGAAAAAATACTTGTGATCGCTCGCAAAGAGCGCAGCTGTTTGCATATGGTAGTGCTGGTAGAGGATTATCAGTTGTCAGTGCAACACAGATGTCTGTTTCTGATTTTTCTGATTCCCGTTCGCTTTGGTGGAGACTTGGACGGCGTCCTACTGAATGCTGGCTTCTGTCGGCTCGACAGAAGCTGCGATTTGCAAAGATGAGGAGAAAAACGCAAGATACTTTTATTCGTATGCGGCTGGTGTAGCCATTCATACGCGATGCTTTTGTCGGGGCAACATCGACCGGCTCTGTTTATCGCTTATCACCCGATATAATTATTTCAAATTACCCCCTGACGGAGCATAGGTAAGTACGGCTGGCCTGCCGTAGCGTGATGGCTAGAATACGGCCACCCAGGAAAAAGAAATACTTACGAGCGCGCGAAGATTGCGACTGTGTGCATATCATAACGCTGGGATGAGACTATCAGCTGCGAGTACAGCACACGTCTCGGATTGTGGTTTCCATTATATTCGGTCGACCCCCGAAAGCATAGCAGTGAATGCTGGTAAGCGGGCCACAGCTACGATTTGCCAAGATTCAACGTGCTATTCGGGATACATGTACTCACGCGCCCAGCGTGCTGCCACGCACACAAGATGGATATATTTGCTATCGCAGCCAGCATGCTGTCATGCACACGCGATGGGCATATTTACTCTCGCGCCCAGCATGCTGTCATGCACACACGAGAGGTATATTTACTCTCGCGGCCAGCGTGCTGCCATGCACACATGATGGATATATTTACTGTCGCGCCCAGCATGATGCCATGCACACACGATGCATATATTTACTGTCGCGCCCAGCATGCTGCCATGCACACACGATGCCTATATTTACCCTCGAGGCCAGCGTGCTGCCATGCACACACGGCGGATATATTTACTCTCGCGCCCAGCGTGCTGCCATGTACACACGATGCCATTGTGGGAGCACGATCTGCCGCAAAATAAATCACTCGTCGGCCCATATAGCCTTCTTTGTTCATATCACCCTTGACAGGCGCACTGCCGATCTGCCACTGGCGTGATGGAAAGAAAACGGCGGCCAGTAAGACTACTTATAACCACGTGCAGGAAGCGTGACCGTGCATTCCATAGCGTTAGTATAGAATTCGTCCAATTCTACGCGTCCAATTCAAAATACTTTTTTTAGTGCACGGCGGTTGCAACCATATACACGCAATGTCACTAAGGGCGCAGCATTCACCAGTAATGTAAATTGCCCATTGGCTGGCGTGAACTATGTTGTTCAACTTATTCCTTTAAGGTGCATTGCTAGTTGCAGCTTACCTGCCCGTGGCGTAATGGACATAAGTCCACGGCTCCGGAGACATGCTTATGTTTTGTGTGCGGAGGACGCAACTGTGTGCATTCGAAAGCACTGGTATAGGGATATCAGCTGTCATTACAACACACTCGTCTGAATAAGGAATTCATGGCAATCATTCGACCCCCGCGACAGTCTCACCCGGTGCTGGCCAGGTGGCTGCAGCGGCGATTTGCGATCCATTTAAATTATTTTATTCCTTTGCTTCGGGTGGCACCATGTGCACACCATGCATATTGTCGGAGTACGTTCACCCGGGAACTTGAGTAGCTCATCGGCCGACATGAAATTCTTTCCAAAACAGCCGTTGACAGCGTATTGTTTACTCCAGCCCACCATCCCGTTGCGTGATAGCCAGAATACGGCCGCCCTAGGGAAAAACTTATAATCGCGTGCAAACAGCAAAGTTGTGTGCATTCGGCACCTCTAACATAAGGCTTTCAGCTGCCAGGTCAACACACTTGTCTGACTTTGGCTTCCATTTTCCTGGTCGACCATCCGACAGCGTCTCACTCGATGCCGTCACTCGATGCGGCGGGAGCGGAGATCTGCAAAGTTACGGCACTCATAGAACAGTGCTTGTAGTCATGTACGGTGAATGTGACCATCCATGCATACACGATGTTATCGTCGGAGCACTGTCGGCTGACAACGTAAATGTTTCATCAGCCGACATGAGCTTTTTTTGCACAAATTGCACCATGACGGCGTATTGCGAATCTGAGGCTGGCATGCCCGTAGTGTGGTGGCCAGAATGCGTCAGACTGGGCGCATATATATATATATATATATATATATATATATATATATATATATAATGTACTAAAATTCGACTGTGTGTATTTGACAGCACCGCTGTAAGGCTAACAGCTGCCAGTACAGCACACTTGTCCGGTTCTGGTTTAATTTTTAGTCAAGCGACTCTCCGACAGCGTCGCGCGCAATACCGGCGTTCGTTCGCATCGGCAATTTGCGAGGTTACGGCGCCCAATTTGACGTACTTGTAGTTGTGTGCGACGGGTGCAACTCTGGGCACACCAAGTCATTGTAAGGGCGCGTTGGCCTACAACGTACAGTGCTTATCGATAAGACAGAAAGAACGACCTTATTCCGCGTAGAAAAATACAGGAGGATGGAGATATGGATGCGTTGATATTTCGGCAACACGCATTTATCGAAACGAATAGTGGTCGTAAATGTACCGCAACGTTTTTACTTCTACTATTCCTTTTGCTAATGGCATGTTGGTGAAATATCAACGCAGATATATCTCCATTCTTCTGGGTTTTTTTTCTACGAGGAACAAGGCTATTACCAATATCTCATATATATGTATAATGCTCCTCACAGTGCACTTAACAACTTACATCAATCACTTACATTCGACATCACCACTTTTCTTCAAAGCACCCCTGTGAGGCACATAACAAACTTTGTCGAGATAGCCCCTAGCGTGATTTCTAGAGTACGGTGTCAATAAATATATTGTCGCGATAAATATCCATAATCGCGCGCGAAAGGTACAGCTGTGAGCAATCGATAGCGCCTGCACATTGCTTTCAATTGCGATTACAACACAGTTGTCCGATTCGGGCTTCGATTTATTCCGCCGACCTCCAACAGGGGCCACACGACGTTGTCGAGCCGACCACAGCGGCGAATCACAAAGTTGCAACTTCCAGTTTAAAGTACGTTTTGTTGTGCGCAGCAGGTGCGACCGTGAGCGCAAGAAGTCATTGTCGACGGGTGCAGTGCCATTAATTTTGAGTTGGGGAGGGGGCAGAATTTAGTGGGGGAAATCCTGTGCAAATGGGATCTGCTAGCAGGTGGACCTCCTAGGCAATGTTGTATTCGAGGGAGAGGGGTTCCGAACGCATGTGTCCTGTTAACAAATTGATGCATGTATCAAAATGTCTAGAACAAAAAATCCAGAATGGGGCCTTCTGATCATCCAGCGGACAACCTAACCATCCTAAAACAGGACCACCTGTTCCGGAAAAGCCTCTCCTGATCAGGGGTGGCGCGACAGCGGAAGGGGCAGAGGGTGCTCCTTCCCTTGCCGGTCGGCAGGGGCGGAAGGATGTGTTTTACCATTTCCCCAATGTTTGAGAGGCCCCTTTTCCCAAATTAAATACATGGCAGCTCCCCGTAGAGCACCAACGTTGAGATCAAGGAGGTCCACATAACTGAGCTAGGGAGTAATAAGTCATGTTCAGAAGACCCTTTGCTACTCCAAGAGGTACGTTTTCTGCATCACAAGACACCCGTTATGACGAAAGAAGTCAATGCACGCTACATTGTACTTGACCTGAGTCACCGATTCAAATGCAGCCCATGCCGTTCCGATTTTGTCCTACGCAAATTTCAAAGGGCTCTAGTCAATTTCACCTTATCCGAAAAAGTGTGATTTGGAGTCGACTCAGACCTCATCAAGAGCATAAGGCATCAAGACGGCCCTCGAAAAATACAAAGTGCATGACGTCATAGGCATTCTGCGGTATGCGCTTGGATATCAGTATTTTGTCGCACCTGCGTTGTATTCGAGTCCAGGTGGGTCGCCTGCGCTCAATAAGATAAAAACTAGCGGGTGAGTGGGAATTGTTGGCGTTTTTTGTCAGGTGTGTGCTCTGCAATCAATTAGTTTTCTGCTCTCTGAAAAGGTGCGCAAGGACCCGGATTACCTTATAATTGGGGTAGATGTCCTGCTTTAGAGTCTTCGTTACTAATGCTCGGGATGAGGGCTTCGGTTTATTTCGGCCATAGCCTAAGATGTGGAGTGTTACTTTAATGGTTGATTTTAGATGTTTCAAAGCAGCAGTGGAGATGGGCCTCACTTTTCTGCATCTCTGACTTTGAGATTGAAGTGTGAATTATGTGCAGCACTGTGAAGAACTCATACTTTGATGCTTTGCATACTTTGAAGATTGCATAATGATGAGTATTGTTATTATTTTACATGAGATTTATGCGTGATTTTTCTATTAGCACATTTGATTTATACTTGACATAGACATTGATCATGAAGTGCATGAAAAGATTCAAACAATATATCAACATGATGTAAGGCTTTCCATAATTTTTTACACATTTTGTCCAATTTTTAGTCTGTCTTCCCCTTGTCAGGACCTGGGCATGTTGTGCATGGCTTCATACTTTCAAGTTAAAACATTGAAATGTTGAAAGTTGATTACACATGGCATTTGCTTTACTACTAGTTTGATAAATTTCAGCATGATTTGTGCCAGTGGGGCTTTACAATGCATTCGGCTGTGAAGGCTATGTCATGTCACCTGCCTCTTGCCCTGGCAGATGGGTTGGCACTGCAGGAAATGAAACCTCTTAAATGTTGTAACTCTGGTTTTCCAGATGTGTAGTAACTGGCACAGGTATCTTATCTTAATCTCAACTCTAATGGTACCCCTTCAGCATGGTTTGCAATGCCATTGCTCACCCCCAAGCATCATGTTCCACTGTCAGGATCCCCCCCACACAGTTTTGTGTTGCCCCAATCACTGTAAACCTGTCTCCTACTTGCATAACATAATTTCTGGGTGACCTCTTTAACATACATGCAAGCACATTAGTTTTTAAGATTGCAAGTAAATACCATACCACTATTCATGAGAGATTGTCAACCTCTTTAGTATTCACAAAATGGTCATCTGTGAATACACATCTATGTTAACTGCAGCATGTAATGCCATGAAAAGACCCAGGTTTCTTATAGGTCAAGGGACCATAATGGAGGATGAATGATGAAAAAGTATGCTGAAAAAGAGTTATTTTCCTCAGGAACTGCTGATGAATCAGAACAGGGGTAGGAGTGTGTGGAGGAAATGGGTTCTGAAATAAATTAGTCCACAAATTTATGAAAAGCCCTGGAAGGAAGTAACACAAATTGTCTCCCCCCCCCCCCCACTAAAAAAACTGAGATATTCTGTTGCCCCTTATTGGCAGTGGTCCTTTGCTGATATTTTGTAAGATAATTGATCAACTTCAGTAAAATGTTTGCTCAGATATTATGTTATGGTGTGTAGTGCTTCCATATTGGAAAGCATGTTAGGAAGCTTCCATATTATGTGTGTGTGTGTGTGTGTGTGTGTGTGTGTGTGTGTGTGTGTGTGTGTGTGTGTGTGTGTGTGTGTGTGTGTGTGTGTGGGCGTGGGCGTGGGCGTGGGCACGGGCGTGTGTGTGTGTGTGAAGTGGCTAAAAGCCATGCCCTTATATCCCTGCTGCATTCATTGCTACAAATGAAAATTGTATTGCATTTTACTGATCAAGTTACAAATGCATTATCCATGTCATTGATAGGCCTGGATCCCTGCAAGCATGGACCACGAACTTTCACCTGATGCCTCAAGATCGGAAGGCACAAATGAAAAACCACACAAACCCAAGAAGGAAAAGAAGAAAAAGGAGAAGAGTGCAGATCCAGACCACAAAGCCAAAAAGGAGAAGCACAAAAAGCACAGGGAGCGCGATCAGTTCCAGGATGAGGGGCCGGACGACGGAGGCGGCGAGAGCGCTGCGGCCGTGAAGCACGAACAGGACAGGCGCTACTCGCTGATCATCCAGGGCTCGGGTGATGTGGACGGCGGGCCTGGCCTCCATTACATGGCCTATGTGGTGATGGACGACCTGGCCGACAAGTTGAAGCTGCTCGACTACGAGCGCGACTTTTGCAAGCCGCTCAAGATGAAGCCGCTTAACCGACACTACTTCGTGTACTCGTTCAACGTGGGCGAGCAGTTTTACCTGTTCACGTCGCTGGCAGCCTGGCTGGTACGTAAAGCCGGGCGGCAGATGGAGCAGCCGCAGGAGTACGACGACCCCAACGTCACCATCTCCACCATCCTCGACAACTGCCGTCAGATGGGGCTGCACGTCGACTTCCCGCCCAGTAAGCTAAAACAGGGCAGCGGCGAGCAGGTTATCTACATCATCGACCGGCTGGCCGACCAGGCACTGAAGACGGTGAACTTCCAGTGGCAGAAGCCGGAGATGCCCGATGGCGAAGAGATCGTCGAGAAGGAGGAAGACGAGGCAGAGATCACCACCGAGAAGATGGACGAGGACGTGGAAGACGCGTTCTCGGAGGAGGAGGACGAGGGCGCCGTGCTCAACCTGGAGGACCTGAAGAACCTCTCCATTCAGGGCCTCAACATCCAGATGGACGCACAAAAGCCGGACGATATCCTCGAGTCGACCACCAACACGGAGGAGTGGCGGCTGGAGATGGAGCGCGTGCTGCCGCAGCTGCGCGTGCAGATCCGTTCAGACACACGCGATTGGCGCAATCACTTGGACCAGATGCATCAGTACCGCGGCGCCATCGACGATTCGCTGTCGGAGACGCAGTCGCTGCTCAATAAGCTGCACGGTGACGTCAGGGGCACGCTCGACAAGATCGTCAACCGCGAGAAGTACCTGAACTCGCAGCTGGAGCACTTGCTGGCCGACTACCGCACCATGGTGGATGAACGCGACAGGTGAGCACGTGTTTGGGGATGACGTGAGTTGTGATGTGATGCGTGCCCTTGTGGGATGAGATATTTTATCATTTGATCAGATCGTATCTTTCTCAGTATGTTTCAAGTACATCTATGGAACTTAATTTACTCTGGTCCCATCACTGCCGGAAACTCGCCGTCACCCTGTGGACACGTTCGTGCGTCAATGCGGTGTCGCCAGGTTATGCAGCACAGGCGTTGGGTGCGTTTCCAGGCAGCAAATGCTGTGTTAGACCGCCGCGGCTCTCGCTCTCTGACGAGTAGCGTGTGAGAGCACCGTTGATTTGCCACGCCGTGTTCCCAGTACGCAGGAGCAGTACAAGACGGTGAACGTCGGCGTGGTGGAGCGGTCGCGGCAGCTGGCGCAGCTGACGGACGAGCTCGATTCGGTCAAGCAGGAGCTGGAGGAGCGCGGCACCAGCATGACCGACGGCACGCCGCTCGTCAACATACGCAAGGCGCTCAACCGCATCAAGCAGGAGGTGCAGGGCATGGACGTGCGCATCGGCGTGGTGGAGCACACGCTGCTGCAGTTCCGGCTGCGCGACAAGGAGGCGCTTCAGCAGGAGGCCAACGTCCAGTTCACCACCAACAGCATTGGGCTCTACTGAAGCGTGCCGTTGGGATGTCAGCACATACTGACGGCAGGTGGGAAGTCACGTCCTGGTCTCGGCTGTTTCAACTGCGAGGAATGGCTTGAATCACTCTAGTCGATGGATCTCGCCCTTATTCACTAGACGTTTGGATTGTGAGGCGGAGCGGAGGTCACGTTACGGTTGGTTTCGGTGCACCATTGGCAGCCCTCGAGAGTCTGCCCGGCACGGTACGTCGTTACGCACTGCGCTGGCTGCCAGTGCACCCGTTTAGCATAGTGGGCTTATAGTGGGTCGGGCACGTCGGGCTGCACTAGGGCACGCAGCGGTGTATTTATTAAGATCGCAGCCCTTTAAATTTTTCCACTAAGCTCAGAGTGGTCTTCTTCCTCTGTGCATTGGTCAACAACAGGAGCCCTCTAAAAAGTCTCGTTCGCGTATTTGTGGGCCCATTCGCATAAAGCGTGTCTGATCTCGACGTTATTCAGGTAAGATTACACGATTCCGTCCACGTGTTTGCTCCAGCTGCGATTGTTTTGGTGTGTAGTATAGCACTTGAAGTGACTAGCCGAGTACTTCATACTCTGAAAGGTGCATGCCTTGAGTGACATGTGTGTCGTGCTTAACCGGGATTTGCGTTGAATCGCTAACGTTTTGGTGGCGCACATTTCGATATTTGTTGTTTTTGTTTTGGACACTTTGTTGCCCTTTCATTGCAATTTGTTGGGCAGTTTTTGGATCATGAGCCGAGTAGTATTTTTTGATATTGCGAGATATTTATGGATATTTAAGGTAAAGTATTTCGTATGGCTGCAATATTGGCGAATATGTGTTTCGAATAGCATCGGTTTATTTGCCGCGTTATATGACTTATAGAAACATACCAGCTTACTTGTTTGTAGCCACACTGAGACACTGACATTCCTATTAGATGCGCAACAGCTATGGATTAGTTTTCGTCGTGTTTTGTTCAACGCACTGTGTTTGCATCATTTTGACGATGGCTTGTTTGAAGCGATCTTGACTACGTCAAAGACTTTGTGTAATCCTTTATGGTATTGGACTCGGCTAATTCAATCGCTGTCTTTCAACACGCGCTCGGATGGGGTGGGGGTCAACTGACCCCCGAGGGTTTTCCGTAATTATTTCCGACAGGTGCGGCGCAGCTGTGCCAAACTTTGCATAGCTGTACGCAATTGAATAGCGGGTCTTTTGTGCAAAAAAAGAACCTTGTAAGATTGCTGACTTGTGGCAGGTCAACTTCAGGCCGTGGCTGTCAGCGAAGGGCTTTTATAGGAATCGTTCAGTGTGATGCGACAACGGAGCGTTAGAACAAGCCATGCATATAGTTTTGGGGCAATAAACCAATTAAAGTTAGGATTGCCACAAATTCCATGGACCTGGGGTCAGGCATGAAGACCAGACGGGGGTCAAAATTAACCTAGGCTGGGTTCTTGGGCAGTTTCCGGTGCTTACTTCGAATTCATCAACGACAGAGATCTTGAAAGGCATGTTCTATGGATATTTTAAAGGTCAGAGTATGCCACTGACTTGAAATGGCCCGGGTTTTTTAGGAACTTACCCATTTTGGTTTTATGAACCTACCTCCTGGCACTTTCTCTGACGTTTATTGAAATGACAAAATGGGGGCAGGTGTTTGATCGCTTTGCGTTATAAAGGTCAAACCAGGTCACTAACCTTAATTTAACACCATTACCGTTTTGCTTAGAACATGTATCTTGTTTCACGGCGGTTGCATGAGAAGGTCTAGGGGCGCCTGAGACCCCAAGCAGAAGTTGGACCTCGTTTGAACTCATTTGATCCGGAGGTCGTGACTAAGGAACCTCAAATTTTGACGCAAGTGTGTTTACATGCAGCTCAATCTGCCGTGTGAATTTGGTGTCTAGCTATCATAGTTTTCCAGATTTCAGGGGGCGGGTGGTCAAATTGACCCTGCCTCCACCCCCACCCCCACCCGAACGAATGGTATTCAGCCGGCCACCCGACCGCGTACGAAATTAAGTTGGGTTATCGTTTTACCGCAGCGACGCACCAATGTATAGCGTGGCGTACATGTTCCACCGCCTGTTGCGAAATAAACAACCAGCGCCGGATACGCTTTTTGCATGTGCTATTGCACATGATCTATGAATGGACACGATAACGCGTCTGTGTTACCCACTGCGCGTCTGAGAAACCAGAGGTACGGGGTTCGATTCCCCGCGGTGCCCGCCCTTCCTGCCAGGGTGAGAGGCAGGCGACGTCATATAGCCTCAGCAGCTGAGTGCGTCGTAAAGCCCCAATTACACAAACACATGAATGGACACGAAGTGTGATCGATCAGAACCCACCCAGCGTCGGCTCGTCAGCACCTGTTGCCCGCATTCTATGCGAAGCTCGCATTCCGACAGCTGCTACCACGTTGATTTTCTACAACAGACGAAGGCAGAACGTGACGCTTCCTGAATGGGCAAAAATGCAACGCTCACGCAGCTGTGTGTGGGCCTTTACTGGCCAGAGCGCTCCAATTGTCCGTTTACACGGCCGCACTACCTCGTAAGTGCCGCCCAGCTGGCACCTGCACGGTAACGATCGTTGCATAAGGCCCACGAAACGGATTTTGCGTATCCACCAGCGTTAGTCGGAGCAGCGAGTAGATAAGTTTATGCTTCGGCAAGGCCTTGCAGTTCGACTTTCAATATTTGTCTTTGTCAACGCTTTAAGACCACCGAAGAAGAACGAAGAAAGCAATGCATTAATTTCGCCCTTAATTTTGGAGTGTGGATGCAGCCACGGCTTGCAAGTCGCGGAGGTATTAATGTTAATGGCCTTATTGTGTGATGGAACGTTCCCACCTTAAGTTTACCGAAACGAGCCTGGTTCCGTTTTTTACGAAACACCAGCGAACAGTCGTTTAACAGATGGTTACTGCGCGACCGGGTACCCCGCGAGAGATGTGAAAACTCTCAGATGCCAGACCATCACGCCCCCAACCCTCCACATACCTCTTGATCTCGACTGGAGCGAGCAACGCTGGCGCTTGGGGCATACATGTTGCGATGATAAGGCCTGTGTGACCGCTGTCATCAGCGTTGCGTCTGAAGCGGACCGTAGCGGCGCAACGCAAACCATGATATTATGGCCGAAATAATCGTCGAATCTCAACACACGTCACAGCGTCCTGAGACTGAGCATGTGGTCCTGGCCATGACGACGCCCTGATGAGCCGCCACGGACCTTACTCCGGATTATAGGCACGCCGCTCGTCACGCATCGAATATCATGGCTGTCGTTTACAGAATGTTTTTGGATGAAGGCTGCTGGCTGTACAGGCTAAATGATTAGTCGGACTATTATGCTGGCGATAGTGACATCATCAATGTGCAGGGACTCAAGGGGCGTATGCTCCTTCATCAAATATTAACGTTAATTGATATGCATATAACTTCACAAGTACGATATCGAGGTATACACGGATTATTAGTAGCTTTAAAGTTGTGCTGTTGTTACACGTCATGCAAGACATCTTACACATCTGTAACACGCTAAGACAATGGGCTTGAAATCAATGTAAATTTGTAGTCGCCCCCCCCCCCCCTTGTAAAACGCTGAAAATGTCCCCAGCTGCTTATTGCTTGTTGTGTGGTCATTAATTACGAATAGCAGAGCACAATGAATTAGAGCAATGCCCCGATTGAAGATTCCATCCGGACATCTTAACATAGCAATTTCAAAAACAAAATGTTTTGAATGAATTGACCTGTCTCTGCTTTCCAGCTCGCATAATTTTGTCGTCGTGGCAATTCGGTGGCGTCATTAAACAGCTGGTGAGATATCGTACGGGGCAAACTTAACCGAAAGTAACAACTGCGCCAGCATTCATTGTTCCGAGGTTGGAGAAGGCGGGGGTTAGCGTAATCCGCGTAAGGCGACCCTGAAAGGAAGCGTTGGCGTCTACATTTCGTTTCTCCGCTTGCTGAATTTGCCTCGACACCCGGATTGAGGGGCTGCGGGTAAGGAAACTTGTTAAGACCATCAGCTTGTGTGTGTTTCTCGGTACATTGAGAAAAGCCGCTCTGCTGCTACATGCACTTGTTTAGTTCATATGGCGCAGCGGTCGTTCGCAGTGGAAGACTCATCATCAAAGGAGGAGTGTTTTCATATAGTTGTTTGACGCACGTTATCATTTTTCTGCTTCAATTTCCAAGAACATTGGGGGAAGGCTTGGTGGTGGTTGGTGGGGAAGTAGCTCCACCCTAAATACCTTCTCTGCTTAAAATACAATTACCTAATTTGGAAACCCAAACATTTCAACAAGAAATTTGCCTGCTTAGTGATTGCAATGAAGGAAATCCCAGTCAAGATGTGTTTTTGGCAACAAAAGTTGGCTAGATATATTGAAGTTTGTGTGTGGATGTGATTTTGGATAACTGGAGAGCCCCTTGCTGGGTATCCTGTGGAGTTCCTAACAAAAGTTGGCTAGATATATTGAGGTTTGTGTGTGAATATGATTTAAGTAACTGGAGAGCCATTTTCTAGGTATCCTTACTGGAGTTCTGACTTGCTCAGTTTAATTACTCAGTTCTTGCCTCTTTTGAAAATCAGTGTTACATTTGGTTGAAGCTATGCTATGATTACACAGGGTTTTTGTTAAAAGGTCACCTGTTTTGAGTTAAAGTTGCAACATCACCTGCAAGTTCAGGGATTTTTCTAAAGCAGTACCTAGTCCAGAACATGTTTTGTTGCCTTTGCATTATGGTGTTGAGTTGTCAGTGAAGCTTTATCCTGTCATGCAAGCTTACATTTGTGTTAATTATAACCAGATATGAGGATTCCTCAATGAAAATAAATATTTGCTGGTATTTATTTAATGCCAGTATCATAAGCATTGGTCATTTATAGCTTTAAATTATGTGGAGATTTGTGTTTTACCCAGAAATCTAATCAGTAGTGCGCAGAAATGCGGGAGAGCAAATATTGCAACATCCCATCATGCTTTCATATTGCACTGTTAGTGGATCACATATAATCCTACATTATCAGAAAATGAAGTTAGGCAAGTTGCAAAATGAATTGTAAACATTGATACCAGTGGTGAAAACACCATACCACTGGTACAGTGGCCAGGACGGTGGTTTCTGCACATTATGGGTGGCTGACAGCCAACCTTCAATA